CAATGTTGAACCTGGAACAACATTTTCATGATGGTCTGGGAACAACACCAACACGAGGATATCAGATCATCCGTGGCTGTCATGTGTTTTGTCAGGAAGTCTGTCAATGGCTTACAGTCTGCACTTTTACTTCTCTTGTACTGACAATTTTGGATGCAAGGGACATATTTCTCTCTCTTTTTTAACATCTGACAACTTTCAGTATGTTTAAAACAAACAAACCACTTTTACAGTGTCTGCCACTTTATTAGGCACACTTGTTTTCACTGTACACAAACAAGCTGTTTATCTAGAACTTTTTGTTCACATCCACAGTGTTCCACATCCTTGCAAAAAACGTTTTGCAATTGAATTGTAAATTCTAGTTGTTTTAGAAGGATTTTAAATTAGATTCTGGATTTAACAGGGAGTCAATGTTAAAAAAAAAAAAGAAAAGCCAATATTAGAAAAATATGCTCTTTCTTGTCAGTACTTTTGCTGCAGTATTTTGGATCAAGTAAGAGATTTTTTTTTTTGCAGAGTCCTATAATAATGAGTTACAATAGTCCAGCCTACAAATGTATGAACTGGTTTTTCAGGAAAAACTTTTTTCAGCAAGGCAGCATGGTGGTTTGGTGTTTAGCACTGTTGCTTCACAGCAAGAATATCCAGAGTTCAACTACACCATTTGGCCAGAGCCTTTGTGTGGAGTTTGCACGTTCTCCTTGTGTTTGTGTGGGTTCTCTCTGGGTACTCCAGATCCTCCCACAGTCCACAGACATGCAGTTAGTGGGGTAAGATTAACTGATGATTTTAAATTGCCCATAGGTGTGAATGTGAGTGGTTGTCTCTGTGCATCAAATTGGATCTCCAGGGTATCCCACCTCTCCCACTGTAGTAGCTGGGATAGGCTCCAGCACTACCTCCTGAGCCACCTCGCAAATGTACAGGTCATCTAGTAATTAGAAGGTTGATGGTTCAATTCCTGGCTACTCCAGTCTGCATGCCAAATATCCTTTCGCAAGATAACCCCAAGTTGCTTTCCAGTGTATCTATTGTGTGTGTAAATGTTAGAAAGCGCAGAAAAAGAAGTGGATCGTGATTGTGGCAGGTTGTAAAAAGCACTGTGAGTGGTAAGGTAGAGTAGAAAAATATGCACAGCAGGTCAGTTAAACACACAAAACTGTACAATGAACATATAATGAGTTGTTTACCCATTTTCTAGGAGCAGTACCAGTTCTTGTACAAAGCCATGCTGAGTCTCATCGGGACACAAGAAGACGAGAAAACTCAGTCCTTTGACGCTAACGGGACCATCGTGACGGAAACCACCAGCATGGCTGAAAGCATTGAATCCCTGGTGCCAACGAATAAATAAAACCAACAAAAAAATACTACACTTTTACAAATGAGCAACAGCATTTCGTCCCTTCCCTGAAACCACCAACAGAGCTGCTAGTGAATCCAGACTCTTGCTACAATCACTCAAGAAATCTTGTCATTCAAGACTCTGCCTTTTGTAGATTGAGACTGGTATGAGTTTCCTCTATACAGTTTTGTAATGTGTGCCTTTTTGCTCATCTTGGATTTCTAACTGTGATATGAGCTGTAGACTAATTGTTCAATGTTTTTAATGCTGTACTGCCCTGAGACTAACTGTCAACGCCAATCTTATATTTATTGGCGCTGAGCCAAATGTGGGGAAAAGGGGAAAAGCTGCATCTTTTGACATCAAATGCTAAGGTCAAAGGAAAGACTCTTTGTCAGACTCTTTCAATATTGATTTTGTTAATGTGTCTTTAACAGAGTACTTGCTCTGTTAAATGTAAATTCTGTTTAAATTGGTGTAGCATGCTGCAGTCAAATATAAAATAAGGGTATCGAATAGTAGATTAATGTACTGTAAATAATATTATAATAATACCCTGAATGGACCAAATTTCTATTTATGCTTTTCACCTTTGCTTTTATTTTTGAAGGGTTTAATTCTAATTGCCTAGCTGCTTTTATACTATGGATTTTGTAACAGTCATGCATGGGTACTGACCTTTTTGTTTTTTTGGTTTGTTTTTTAGCTATAAAGGAATCGCTGCTGGCTTATTAGCTAAGGGATTAAATAAGGGAAGGAACACCAAAGAGAGCCTGTGAGAGTGTTTTGTTACTGTGTGTTGAACCACAAATATACCTGCAAAGATGCAACAGACACATGAACTATTAGAGGTTTGCTCAGAAGTTAGTTAAATACACCGTTTTGCATACAAGTGATGTTGGAAATTTCCAATTTAAACATTTGGTACCAAGATGATGTATTAAGTCCATTGTAGACAGCAATTAGCAAAACTGTAGATTAGCAGAATGAGTTTCAGCTCATTAATATGCAGCCTTACAGAGAACCAACAGGAGGCAGGTCAAAGGTCACAAGGTCCAGACAAAAGGAACAAAAATGAGGAGAAACAGCCTTCTGTGAGCCTGACAGGGAAGAGATGTTACTGAATCAAGAAACACCGAAAATGGAGACATACCCAATTCCATTTCTAATGATGATTCTTGTCTGTGGATTATACAATTCCCTTAACAGAGTCATGGACTAATCCCTGGTTATTTCAGTTGATCTTTGCATGTGTTAATCCAGGCTAAGACACTATAAGAAATGTGCCTTTTCAGGACAGAAAATAGGTCAGTGTCCAGACGTATCCACTTTTTAATTTGCATTTTTGACTTTTCATGAATACAAACTTAATTGGTCTCTGCTTGGTGCCCTACTTTATATAACTGCCTTTAAATCAAGAAGGAGCAAAAACGCTGATCATCTTTTTCTGAAGAGTTGAGCTCAACTAATTAAGTGATCAGAACCATGTCACAAATATAAAGGTCACAAAAAGCAATACAGGTGCAAAAGTCTGTATTACGCAATAACTGTTTTTAATATCTTAAAGCTTTGTGCTGACAAATATCAGCCATAATTGTAAACATGTACATACTGTGTATTGATGCAAAAGAAATAGTGTGCTGCAGCCTTTATCATCATTTGGCCTCTTTTGGTGTCAAGATGATATATTAAGTCCATGCTAAGCACCAATTAGCAAAGCGGTAGATTAGCAGAATGATTTTCAGCTCACTGATATCCAGCCTTACAGGGAACCAATGGGAGGTAGATAAGTAAGTAATCAATAAAAAGATAAGTAAGGGAGAACTAGTGCGTGAAATGGACAAATCAAGAGTGTGGAAAGTTCTGAAGATAACAAGGAAACTGATTGCAGCTGTAGACCGTCATAATTCTCTTCCATTTGGGTCTGTGGGTGATATGTTCCCGTTGTGGTTGGGAAGTGAAGGACTATAGCATAATAACAATTATTATTTTGCTGGTAGTGCACTTCATTCATGATTCATTTCTATTGGAATTTAATTCAAATCTTCATTCTGAGCTTTCTCGTCAAATTCTATTGAATATAATGGTATCCCTAAAATTCATAAAAAAAATCATCCTGGCTAGTTGACATTAAATTCTCAGTGGATGGATTCTCAATTGATTTAAATGTTAGCGCATTTGCAATTAAATTACTGCACTGTTTGCACTAAGATCCAAGCATTACGAACACCAAGGCCTCAAAGCTACAACACCAATGAATAAGGAAATCTTGTGGAGAAAAGGTCTTCTGCAAAATGTTGGAAGCTTAAAAATGCTCAGAATGAAGGAAAAGATTCACTTTACCCAAATACCTTGCAAACAAGAGAATTCCACCTACCTGCACGGCTTTGCTATCAACATGGCTGAATCCGATGGATTCTGTAGTGCTCTAAGCTTAAAAATAAAATTTAAAAAAGCTTAAAAAATAAAAATGGTCAGTTATGGATATAGTAACAATCCAACGAAGAAGAAATAAAAAAAAAAAACAGACTATTACATTTATAATTGAATTGTGACAATCCGAATCTATAAAAAATGAATGAGAAATACTTCACATAATAATTTTATTCATGCAATCATTATTTTATAAAGCAAAATATCAGAACCATCTGATTGTTTTTTACTAATCAAATCTTTGATTATTGTGAAGGTCAATCAAAAAGACAAATAAAAACCATTTGTTATTATTCAGTGTCATATTCTTGTTACTAACAGATTTAACATGAACACATGAAACTGAACCACCTTAAAAATACCATGTGGTACTTCTAGCTCGCACTACAGAGGACGAGCGACTCTAAATCTTAAACATTGCATATTGTGGCTCCGTGCACCATAGGGAACATGGTAAACCATTAAAACTGATCTTATAGTATGTATCTCT